ATCTATGTTAACCATTAACATAGTTTCAGGTGCATACACACCATACTGCCTTGAAACCACAACCCTCTGTAACAAACTGTATAGGTCTGCCAGAGTAGGCTGCTCAAGTCCAGTAACAGACGCTCCCCATTGCGTCACTCCAGGAACTCTGTTTACCAGTTCCAACACATCTGCTACGGTTGGCTGACCAACCTCCATAGCAGATGAGATCAGGGGGCCACACGACACATCTTGCATAGACATGTCAAATGATGTACTTTATGTACCAAAGTAACCTAAGTAACTGTATAGTGCAGCCTAAGCGTGTTGACTGAGTTATAATCTCAACCTCTCTATTTTGGTGTTCATTTGATCTCTTTGGTGAGGCATGCCCAGAATTGGGCCCAGCTGAAGCCGCATGCCGCTTAAACTGTGGTTACTGCTCGGCATGCCTCTGTTATAATCATCCTAGAGACTTTAATATTATTCATTCAATCAATGCCACAGAATAATTTTAATTAGCACCCCATGTCATATATATAAATGTATATATATCATAAGTATTTATGCATATAAATTGGTCTAAATTAATATTATCATTATTGTTAGTGTAACTGGGCAGAGTGTAAATCCATGTGAAGCGTTCATGGCCCCCAACAAGCAACCTTTCCCTAAATAGGGACAAGGTTAATGGCCAAAGGCCAATCACTTCCCTTTGTGGGACACCAGAACCCAGCCAGAATACGCTGGCTAGTGTAGAATCACCAGGTAGAAACCCAACCAAAGGGCCTACCTATTACATTGGACACCAAAATGCCCAAAACTTCCCTTTAAGGCCAAGCTAACACCCTTTTCAAGTGTGGCGAATATGTGAGTGTGTGTGTGTGGGGGGGTTATTATTATAATTGTAATTATAATATTATTATTTATTGCTATGGTACATGGGACAGCACAGCTATCCAGGATACCAGGCAAATTGCTGCCCAACCTGGCCAAGCCTCCACGGGCCCCCTGCTTATACTATGTTTTATTAAAAACTACAGTTCCCATGATTCCCTAGCACTGAGCCAGGGCAGTTAAAATGGACTCAATTTTTGGCAGTCTGCAAAGGCCCTATGACTTCCCAAGATCACCCAGTTGTTTACATGGCTAAACCCGGGTTTGAACCTTGGTCTCTCGAGTCATAGTCTAATGCTCAAACCACTACACCACACTGACTCTGGTCGCTTTTTTAAATTATTGTACTTATAAATATTAGTATTTATTGTTCTGATTTATGGCACAGCATACACACCCATGTTATCAGGCAGCTTGCATCCAGCCTGCCAAGGCCTCCTGCTTACACCTTGCAAGCCTTTTTT